CTGCAGGGACACAAACAACACGTCCACAAAGGGTTAAGGAGGTTCTGTAGGTTTTAGTGCATGTCAATGGTCTGCAGGGACACAAACAACACGTCCAGAAAGATTTAAAGAGGTTCTGTAGGGTTTAGTGCATGTCAATGGTCTGCAGGGACACAAACAACATGTCCAGAAAGGGTTAAAGAGGTTCTGTAGGGTTTAGTACATGTCAATGGTCTGCAGGGACACAAACAACACGTCCACAAAGATTTAGAGAGGTTCTGTAGGTTTTAGTGCATGTTAATGGTCTGCAGGGACAAAAACAACACGTTCAGAAAGGGTTAAAGAGGTTCTGTAGGGTTTAGTGCATGTCAATGGTCTGCAGGGACAACAACAACATGTCCAGAAAGGGTTAAAGAGGTTCTGTAGGGTTTAGTGCATGGCAATGGTCTGCAGGGACAAAAACAACACGTTCAGAAAGGGTTAAAGATTCTGCCTTTTGAGGTGTTCCCTCTCCTGTAGTGTGTTCTGTAGGTTTTAGTGCATGTAAATGGTCCGCAGAGGCTAAAATCCCAAATGTACGGAACATGATGACATCACTATGTAACACTTGCTAGCCTCCAACATATTGTACTTCATATTATTAATGAATGAAGCTCTAACACTGTTCAGGACATTTGATTTAGTTTTTTAATTCACAAACATGAGTTCTGCAGATTTCTGATTGATTATATTTCAATAACACAGATGTTTATCTACTATGTGCATGTTTCTGATTTAGATTACATATTTTCCATTCCTCCTGAACATTATGTGACACACAGACAGATTTAGGATTACTGATATGGGCGTGAACAGGTAGAGAGCGGGAGAGTGGAATAATCTGAGTGAAGACATGGGAATAAAATGTTAAATCCTTCAGCAAACATCATCCTCTGGGTTAATGCACTGTGAAGGTAAATCTGCAGTAATCCCACACACACACACACACACACACACACACACACACACACACACACACACACACACACACACACACTAAGTATTTACTAAGTACTTTGACTTTAAAATCACGACAGACTATGTTGCACGTTTGGTTCTGAAAATCCATTAATCCATAAATACTCAAAAATAAAAGGGAAGTGTACGAAATGTAAGTGAAAAATATTCTAATGATCTTTGCACCACATTCTGTTTTATAAAAGGTTTATTTTCTGCACTTATATTATCATCCCATGTTGTTATTGTCGAAATATGTATTTTTAAAATGTTGAAAGTAACCCTTGCGCTCCTATTGGCTAGCGCTCTAACACATTGTACGTGATAGGCTAAGGGGCAGGACATCTCTAAGCTGTTGACCAATCACAACAGAGCCAGCCAGCTAACAAATCAGAGCAGACTGGGCTCTGGTTTCAGACAGAGAGGTGCTTGAATATATAAAACAAGTGTGATAGGAAAGTAAACACACGGGAAAAATCAACATTTTCCGTAATTATCACACACACACACACACACACACACACACACACACACACACACACACACACACACACACACACACACACACACACACACACACACACACACACACACACACACACACACACACTCTGCCGGCTGATTAGTTTTTAATGATCTCCTGCCTTGTTATTTATCTGCTGAATTGAATAATCTCCTTCCTGCAGCACCAGTCTGTTACACGACAAACTGTGTGTTTCTGCAGCTGCACAACAACAACAACAACATATTGACAAACAACGACATGCACACGATAGGAAAGGAGTTTATGTTACAGTATGTGGAATTTATTGTTCCGATTTTTCATTGAATTGGGAAGAGGGGGATCATTATTGTAACCGTCCTCGCTTTCAGTTTGGAGTTTTGTTTTTTCTATGGATTTATTTATTCATTTTGGGGATTATTCTTATGGATTTAAAATCAGGTAGAAAGTCTGTCTGTTTTTATTCTTAACATTTAGTCAAATATTCTCTATTAGCAGCAGCAGCAATCAGCTTCAGTTTGCAGCGTCATTTAAGATTTCCTTAATATCATTTGCATTAAGCAACACACCCTTAAGTCTGCACCTTAAGACTTCGTTAAAGACACCTGTTGCACAAAAAACCCTTATTGTGCAAAAACCCCCTTAGACTTTCTCTTTAGAGTTTCCTTAAGATGTCATATGATGCTTCCCAGGGCGGTTCTGCAGCCTCTATCTTCTCTGACTTCTAAGCTGATTTATGGAAATGTATCTGGTTGATATCAGATAAAAGGATATCCTGTGTAAGTCTAATTCACACTAAATCTAATCTTTAAAACACCTGAGTGTGTGTGTGTGTGTGTGTGTGTGTGTGTGTGTGTGTGTGTGTGTGTGTGTGTGTGTGTGTGTGTGTGTGTGTGTGTGTGTGTGTGTGTGTGTGTGTGTGTGTGGTTGTGTGTGTGTGTGCAGTGCATCCTGTAGGGGGCGCTCAAAGGACTTATAACTGCGTCTAACAAACTTAACAAGGTTTTTTTCTTTCAGGTTCCA